CCAAACAACCACTGAATGTATAAATTTTGTTCTATTCACTAAAACTTTATAGAACCAAGAGTCTTCAAAAGACAACTCATCAGCACCATCCAAGAGAAGGACAATTTTTCTTTCTTTGTTATAATGTTGTTCTGATAGATAATAGTTCAATATTTCATATTTGTCTGTTAAATTCTGTGTTTTGATAACTGTTTCAAGATTATCCTCAATTGAAACTTCTCCAAGCATAATTGGTAACAGCAGAGTGTCTTTGTAAATCTTGTCATCTAACCAATCCTTTAAAATTTTATAGCAGTGGTAAGTTTTTCCAACTCCTGCTTCTCCATATATGAGTACCCTCTGATGTTTTGACAGCTCTTCAGTGATTTCATTATTTTCAGATGATGGGTTTAAATTTGTTGTAGTTTGATATATTATCTTAATAGGTGTCAATATACGTTCTATTGGTTTAAATTTTTTCCTTCCTACAGTAAATGGGAATTTTTGAATTGTTCTAATTTTCTCATAACATTTATTTTTAACAGATGTGATTAAATTTTTCCATGTGTCATCAATTCCTTTAATTATTGTAGCTGCTAAAGGATTCTTTTCAGCTATTAATAGCAATACTTTTATTATTTTATCAGTTTTTGAATACATTATATTCTGTAAGATACTTTTTTTCCCTAATTCAGTGTCACAATAGATTATTTGCTCTTGTCGAAGAGAATTTAAAAACCTATCGGATTCAAGAAGCTTCTCAAAGTCATGTTTGTGTTGAGTCAGTATGGGGTTCATGCTTGTAGGTAGGATATATTCTATATGAGAATAATAGTCTATAAAATTGATTGAATTGTAGGTAAAATCATACCTGCATTAAACTATAAACACAAAAAGATCAAACCAAAGCCTTCTTTGAAATTATAGATTTGCTTATCAAACTAATGATAACACCAACCAAAATATAGAGAGATGTTAGAAGAAACAATTTTTTAGAACTGTAGAAAAGTGCATACTTCAGTTCCTTACAAACGCCATTTTGAAAAACATAGAAAAATAGTTACAATTTCAAGTGAATGATCAATAAGATCATTCTATACAAGTGACTCATTACTAGTATTATAAACTTTATATAAACCAAAAAGTGACTCATATATGGGCCTGTACAAAAACTCTTAAATGGTGTACTGGCAATTAGAATGATCGATTTTTAGAAAGACTTCTACTTTGTAGGAAATAGATTCTTTTGGTATAACATATGTAGTTACCATGGATAAATAAAAGAACAAAAAACATGGAGAAGATGTATGTCAGAGTTATTACATCTCTTTCAATACCAGTGGAACATGTTCAGCATGTGACTTTGATCTGAAGATTATATTTTATATGTGTGACATAACAAGATTGTAAAGAAATGGTCATCAGAGGAGACAATGTGCCACAAGTATCATGATATGGGAAATAGTAGACAAAAAAGAAAATTTTTGTCAGAACTTTACATTATGTCTGTAGAGACACCCTCTCTACACAGAGGTAATGTGGTGCAACAAATCTTGGCTCCATTCCAACCTCAAAAGGTTGCCGATTGGATTGAGTTTAAGTCATTCCTGCACTGTTGAATTTGCTAAATTATGAAGGATGCTCTCAATTTGAAATACTTAAACAGTTTTCACTGTGGCTGTAATTTGCTTTTCATGCCGGAAAGGCCTATTTTTTGGCCTTGTCTTTCCACCTTTTCTGCCAAATTTGAGAGTTTACTAGTCTGTTCAAGAATATCACCATGGACTTTACCAGACCCATTGTATAACTTTGGTTATATTTTACATGCTTGAACTTTATTATTTTATGCAACTTATATGTACACATTTAGGCAGTTCGTAGGTACTAAACACATAAGCTTATAACCAGGCTCACAAATTCACACAATACACCCAAATTGTTACATTTCATTCATCCATGGAAAGCAATATTGAAAGAGTATTATAGAGTACTCTACACGCCTAAAACTACAACATACACTATTTAAACTAAGTTGTAAAAGTTTTTACAACTTAGATGTTAACCCTAATTATTATACACATCATATTTAATGAATATTAATTATATCTTCCACTATTCTATTTATATTTGGAGTTTTTAGATTATTGTCACTTTTGAACAGTATTGTATGCACAATACTATATTAGATGATTAAGTTTAATACTTTTATGCTACCAGTCCTTTACACAGAAACATATTATCTTACACAAACAATTATTATTAATAATTTGTTGTATATTAAAATGGCATCAAGTTGACCTTTTCCTATTTTTGTGTTTTGGAATCAATCCAACTTCTATTAATAATTGTTACATCTTAGGCAACTTTCTGACCTACTAAAATAGGGAGCAAAAGTTCTCCAAGATAAAGAAAAAGTAACAAACATGGAAGTATATTTGAACTTTCCCTTTATCCAAATTGTTACATTTGTTTGTGTGAATATTTTTATCTGTGAACTGTGAACTATTGGAAAAGTATATAAACCCTACGAATTTAACAGTAGTCAGTTCAGTTTTCTAACCATCAGCTGGTTCTTCAAACTTGCTTGTTTAGAACTAGAAACTCATTTACTCAAATACATATTCTTTGAATGAAATACTGGTGTTTGTTGGTTAATTTTTACTGGAATTACATTTATTAAGACTACTTGTGGACAAACTTGAAAGGTTCTATTTGGACCAGTACTTTGGCACATTGGTAAATGATTGGAGATGACTTTTGGAGAGAATATCCATATCAATATGTAACAGAATTTTAAGGAGGATATTGCAAGTGGGAAGCCAGGTCTTAAAGCAAGCCATGCAAAAAAATGGAAGCATTTCTGCCAGAGTATGCTGGAGGAGGATGACAAAAAAGTTATTACTTTTAATATTTTCTGATGAAAGCAGAATTTCCAGTTATTATTTCCAAGTGCGCCTTATTATCAAATGACCTCATTTATCTTATAATGATTGGAAAGGATGAATTATGTTCTGAAGAAGCAGAAGTTCCTACAATTACAATACAGCATAGTAGACGATTTAATAATGTTTTCCATTACTTCTTTTTCAGTATGATAAAACTGGAATGTCTTATTAGAATCTGTTAACAGAAATGTAAGTTTCCAGCATATCTTGAATTTTTTCTTTAGTTTAAATAAATTGGTTGATTTAAATTCTAAAAATGAACTGATAAAATTTTGACCACACCTCAGACAGTAAGACTGCATTTTTTATATTTTCTACCCTTAATGTAGATCTTGCCAATGTTGTAGCATTTTCTTGCATAGGTTTGAAGAGGTACATGTATAAGTTGCATAAAATAATAGAGTTCAAGCATGTAAAATATAACCAAAGTTGTATACTAACCCGGAATTATTTACCCTAACACTAACCTAACCCTGCTCTCTCCTTGTCAATGTAACTATAGCTAATATAACTGAAGCAGTTAGTGAAAAGATAATTAATACGCCTACTGTTTTATATGTTAAATTGAATTTTCATGCTGCTAAAGTTTCAATGCCCAAGATTTTTGCAAACAGTCAGCATCAAAAAACAATCTGATGAAAGACACAACATTACCAACTATTCCAAAAAATGATATGAAATATAGTACAACTTGATGATTTATTGAATTTTTAATCTATTTTTAAGAATTAAAAGTAACTTTTTTGACTATTTGAACCCAAAAGATTTCTGCAAGAATTTAAATCATTTTGCTTTGGTGGGCATTCAGCCAATTGATTTATCCTCTTCATAGAACAACTTAATGTAAAACATTCACTTTTTAAAAATTTTGACTTTTTCACTTCTTTAAATTGAAAGTTTCTAATTTCTATTCCATCAGTAAGATAAGCTTTGAGTAGATTCAATTCAATCAATTCTACAAATTTATCAAATAATACTCCTTTAGCTATTCTATCAATTTTTGAATGTTTAATATGTAGAATTTGTAAATTGTTTTGGGAATGAAACCAACAAAGCGCAATTTAAAAAAAATGTCATGGAGTCAGTTGACACAAAGAATCCAAAAATCAAAATTTCAATATAAAAACATATATAGAATATATATAATGCTGCCATCTGTTTAATAAGAAATTTAATAAAGAAAATGTATAGTATTGAAACTGAACTCAAAGGGTTAGGGGTAATGGAAAATGTTAGGTACAGCTAAGGGCTGGGTTAGGGTTAGGGTAAAAGCACCAATTTGTGGATGTTTTCTGTCGCATCCCTATTAGATTTAGCATTAGCATATAAGGAGGAAGTATATCTGAGTAACATATCTTAAGTAGAACTTATCTTTGTGCTATCTGCATAGTACAATACTGGTTCAATACTACATATCTATTGTAGAGTATAGTTGACAAATGTAGGTGAACATTGCAAAATAATTAACTATCAAATTTTGTTAAAAATTTCTAGAAAGATGCTGAAAAGTTGAGCAAAAAACATTTTGGACAAAAACTCCTTAATTACTGTGAAGAAATGCTGATTTTTCCATACTTTATTGTGAAAACTCACTCTTTTACCTCAAGTGTAGCATTTCAATATAACTATTGAGAAAGACCACCTGGAAACAACCTTTGCTGGAACAAGTCTTCCACTCTTTCATGTTGATATTTAAAAAGCCTATCTATAATACTTAGTAAACTTGGTCACTTGTTTAACATCCAAATGTATAGCAGCTTCCATAGCTCAGTTGGTTAGAGCGTCGTGCTAATAACGCGAATGTCCTGAGTTCGACCCCCAGTGGGAGCATTATTTTTTTTTACTATTTATCACTTAAACTCAGGAATCACAATCACAAAAACAACACAATAGAATCTAATTCAAAATTCTCTAGAATTTTATTCAGCTCAGTTGAGAAACTAGAAGAAAAACATTTCATTTCTTGTTTAAAATTTGTGAGTTAAAATTTTGTAGAACAATATCTGAGCTTTTGCATTATGCTGACACCACAAAAAAATAATACTTTCAGCACTTACAAAATACATTTGAAAATAATTATTGTATTGCACAACGTTTTGATTTTTTTGTTTTTCCATTATAGCATCTTTCCTCTTCAAGCTCCTCTCTCCTTCTTATTCTGATTCTCTCTCTTTCCTCCATAGCTTCAATTTCTTCTAACAATCTTTCCCTTTCTTCTTCTTGTTTCCTTTTTAAATATTCTAATTTTAGTTGCGCATCTAATTCTTGAAGTCGTTGCTTTTCTCTAAGTTCATTACGTCGTCTAATGGCGTTCCTAATTTCTAAACTCCTTTGCCTCTCAGCCCTCTCAATTTCTAATTGTGCCTGTCTGAGAAATTCCATCCTTTCTTGCTCTTTTCTGCGCTCTTCTCTCCAGAGTCTCTGTTGCTCTTCTTCCCATTGTCTTCTTTCCTCAAGTAACTGAATTCTTTTTCTTTCCTGTTCTTCAGCCCTCTCAACCATTTTGACAAATGCTTTGTACCTAATTGAAAATAGACTGTCAAGTTTCTCATTACACTTTTTGCGCAGAGGAGAAAGTTCCAGTTCAGTTAGGTGACTTTTATTAAAAACATTTATGTTAACATAATTTTCATACTCGGCTAATAAAACGTGTTTTACTTTGTTCACCTTCTTTAGTTCAGTGTAATTGTATTTCAAATTGAAGACTTTGTCTAGCGAGTAATTAAAATCATAAAAAACTGACTGAAGTTCTTCTTGGCAGTGAACTAATTGCAAAAGTTGGTCTTTTGATTTTTCATTTATAATAAAATCATTGGCCATTAGAGAATTGTAACAATGGATAATATTTTTATAAATGCCCCTCCCAGATATTGCATCATTAGCATAATTATTGAAAAGTGAATCCAGCTCTTTCATTAAATTGTCTTTAGCCATAATAAATTCCAATCCAATATCTTTGGAACAATGCTTTTAATTAGTCAAAAAGAAATTAAAGATAAATGAAAACCTTGGTAAATGAATTGATCATCTTTTTTTTTACATAAGCAGCTGGATGAGGGAAAGGAGAAAATTCATATTTTCCAAATAATTTTGAAAGTTGAGAAATACTTTCACTCCCCTTTTCAAAATATTTAATTAAGTGTGATTTATCTACATTCATATATACATACTCACTGTCATGAATGAATCTTTTAATCTTTTATCAAATTTTCCAAATGTTGCATTCCTCTGCGGTGGTCTGTTCCTCAGAACAAATATAATAGTCTGCAAAAATGAAAATTAGATGGAGAGATAAGAGAATTTATTGAAGATTGAATGAGATAAATACCAACATTGTCCTGAGTTTTTTCAAATCCTTCATTATCAACAACACCCAAATAAATGTTAAACTTCAAAAGAAGACATTTTATCATTTATTATTCCTGTTTAAGAGCCGTTTTTAAAACCTTCAAACCTTTATGCTATTAATATCTTGCTCAGTCAACCTTCTATCAGCATTGTAAATTACAATCGGGCATAATGAAAATAGAAATGAAACTATTAAATTGTCACCCCTGACCAAATCGGAACTAAACAGTCCTTGTGAATCTAAGAAAAATATATAAATTCTTTGACCAGAAATAGTTCTGAAAACATTGAAATTTTACATTATAAATGAGACTAATGATGATAAAAAAAAACCCACACACACCTAACCATAGGTTTTTTTGTCATAAATATTCCTGTAATAAATATTAAAAATATTATCAATTTTTGAGAGAAATTCAAAAGTAAGAATCATTTTTACCTTTTGTAACAGATTCATCACCAAATCCCACTTGAAATACATTTTCAACATAACTACCTTGATTATTGCTCTGATAAAGAAGATTCATAAGAAATGATTTACCTTTTCTAAAAAGACCCATTGCTCCAATTAGAAGACATTTTCTATTGCTATAGGATTTTAAGATATCTACAGCTTCATATGATATATAGCTGCTACCATCACTATTGCATTTTAGCAATTGTATAGATTGAAACATTTTTCCACCATTGATCTAATGTATAGTGCTCAATCTCTGACTATTTATACAAAAAAATATATGAGTCACTTGTTTTTTTAAATTATACATTTTCGAGAAAATGATTTATAATCACTGAGTTTTATCAGAAGGAAGAAATAATTAAAGGATATAAGAAGTACTAGTTGAATTGAAATTCATTCTGTATTTTCTCTTTGTCTGCACTGTATTAGAGAAACAGTTAAAATGTCTGAAAGTGTATTACTGTTGGAACTTTCAAATCCACCTAAAATAACTAAATGTGCAAAAGATATTCTAGAACAGTATGGACAAGAAAAATGTTTATTTCTCTCTTCAATGGGAAGGTATAGAGAAGGTAAATCATTCTTAATGAGTCTACTTTACCAGAGTGACTATCAGAGTGAAAAAATTAAAGATATATTCAAAGTTGGATTCGGAGACAAATCTGTAACAAAAGGTAAAGAAAAAAAATTCTACAAAAGTGATTTTTGTCATTAATCATTTACTATTTTTTTATGATTGAATTACAGGAGTTTTTATGACAAAAACACCAATAAAAAGGTTCAAATTTGAAGTTAAATTTATAATTTTTGTTTTTTATATTCATTTTATTATCAAACTTTAGAACAATTAAAGGAGAAACATTAAACGTTTTCTTCTTGGATTCTCAAGGACTTTTTGCAACAGATGTAAAGAAAACAGATAATCTAATTGTTTCATTTTTATTGAGTATTTCACCAATTTGCATTTTCAATGTAAATAGTAGATTGAACTCAACAGATATTGATACACTAAAGGTAAAAAATCTTAATCATTTTTTACCTGTTTAAATATCTAGATAGTAGATAATGTTTTTAACCTTATCTTTTATGTTATCTAGTTTAATCTCTACTTGGGTGTGGTAGATAATGAAAATTGCATAAAGACCAAAGAAAGTGTAAATATAAATTTTAATTAATAAAATATATTATTTAAAAATGATTTTTTTTTGTCTTTGAAGACGATGATTATTACATGCCGGGATAGACCAGTAACACATGATATGCTTCTTGGGAAATTTAATGTAGCATTTAGAGCAGAACAGAAAGAGGTAAACATAAAAATAAATTGATATATAAAGTAATTCTCTTTTTACAGAAATGTAAAAATTTGTATACACTTTTGGAGAATTTTAAAAGATTGGAATTTTCTCTCTTCCCTGAACCAAATACTTCTGTTATGTGTGAAGATTTTAGCTCATATTATAAAGGTTTGTTATTATTGTAATTTTTAAATTTTCAAATTTTTAAAAATGTTTTTTTTATTCATAGATGTTGGACAAAGTTTTCTTAAAGCAAAAGATAATCTAAAAACAGAATTAGAGAATATCTTTGCAAATTATATTAATGATGCAATCAGTTGTTCACAAAACTCTATCAATTTGTCAACTGTTCTTCATTCTCTTTGTCAGAATGATTTTGTTAAAAAAGAAAGGTCATTTCAACAGCTTCAAGAACTCATGACATTTCAAATTGAATATAACAAACTCTATCAAGATTTTGATGATAAAACTGCATCTATATTCAATGTGGATATTGAACGAAAGAATATTTCAAAAGTAAAGAAAGATGGCAATGTTTTTCTTCAAAAGTTTTCAACTTCAGCTTATTTTGTCTATAAAGATCGAAGATTAATGGCAATTAATGAAAATGACATCATTCCACTAAAGGAGACATTTCTACAGAAGATAACTACTCTACTGCAAAACAGAATTCAAGTTTTTGAAAGTCTTATAAATACATTTGAAGAGAATAAAAATAACCTGGATGAGAAATTGGAAAAGTATATTAAAGAAAGGGATGAAACTCTTAAACAAATACAAGTTAACTTTGAGGATGAAATTGAAAAAAAAAGATTGGAAATGAATGAACTGCAAAGTAAGATAGATAGACAAGAAATTGTAATGGATTCTGTGAAGGAACAATTTGAAGAATTGCAAAATGAAATTCAAACTCTAGAAAGAGACAGCAAAGAAATTAATGATAATTATCAAGAAAAGTTTGAACTTTTAAACAAAACACAGAGTGAGAAAATTGAAAAATATTTAATAAAACTCCGTAATTTAGAAAAACAAAGCAAGAAAGAGAGAAGGAGATTTTATAAATTACAAAGGGAAACTCTGAAAGAGGTAGAGGCTATGAAGAAGAAAAAAAAAGCCATTTGTGTGATATCTTAAGGATATTCTTGAATTTTTCATTCATTTCAATACAATTATTAAACAATAAGATTGTGTGTTTGAATGTCATTATATAGCCAGTAAATATACCCTTGACCTTTCTCTTCCTATTTCACTTTCAAGTGTTATTGATATTCTTTTTGATTGGCTAAGCAGTTTAAGAGAATAAGTTTGGTTATATGTTTAATTTCAGAAAATTGAGAAAAAATAGCAATAATCCTCTCATTTAGCTTGCAAGTATTATACTGAGACTAATCATCATTGTTTTAATGATTTGCTTAGTTGTCTAAGCAAAAAAGATTTATCAAACACTCTAGTATTTTTACTGAGTTTTTAAAAAATTAAAACTTTATGTTGTTTTTGAGCTGTCAAATTCATTAAGCCTATGAAAAATATTTGTCAAAATCTGTTACTTTTAATACAGTGATGTTTTGGAGAAATTACGAAAAGTATATCTAGGAAGTGAGAATAGCTTTTGGCCCATGATAGAGATAAACAGCATTGGCCAATGTTGAATACGTGACAAATGGTAGAATGGTGCCAGATAACATCTTCCCTACATTTTTCCCGCAACATTGGAAAATTATCCCCTGAAAAAATTCAGGGTAAATTTCTCCAGTGATCTTAGAGGGAAGTCTTCACCATCATTCCTCCTCTGTCAACAGGGAGCTTATCTCATCTAGGGCAGACCTTTAGGACAGCCAGATGGTTTGCTCTCTGTTGGTTTAAAACCTTTTGGATGGCTCTCTTTGAGATCTGCAACCCTAAGTTTTGTTTAATTTTAGGAGCTGTTGACAGCTCTCTCCTTTCCTGCAGTCTTGAGCACTCTTTCTAGATTAGGCATTGCATTCTTTCAATATATCTTGATTATAGTCTTCTCCTTCTCTCAGATTGTCCTTTCCTTTTATTTTTGCAAATGTATTGGAGAGATTACCTTGATATATTCAAATCTGTTTTCAATTCATCATAGGTCATATTTAATTTTGTTCTCTCTTCCAAGCTTTTTACAGATTTTGATTTATTGTATTTTTCTTATCTTAAGAGGACTATTTATCAGACAATAAAACATTTTACAATACGTATAAACACTATTTTTTAAATCAAACTTTCAATAGATTTTTGCTGTTGTTGCTAAAATTTTATTAATGAAGCAATGAGTAAATTTGTCCCAGTAGGACAAAGTTTAAGGGAAGGTTAAGGGCATTTTCTAGGGTGTGGAAAATTTTAATATTACTTTTCCAGGCCTTTTAGTGCTGAACTGAGAGTCACAAAGCGCAGAATGGAAATGGGTTAGGGTTTGGGTAATATGTTCCTCCAATTGGAGCTTCAAATGTACTGTAGAAACGATTCCATGCTCCGTATGTATTGTATATTATTTTGTTAATGAACTCCATATTTTGGTATGAACCTAGGGAGTAAAACTCTTTAGAATCCATTGATCAGTCAAGTAATGACGTTTTCCCTACTGCTCCCAGCTGTGAGCCTACTATTGCTGACACTAGAAAGATACGAAGCAGTTTTTGATCCTTTGAAGCAATCTAAACTTTTAGCCTATAAAACATACAATTGTTGGCCTTTCATTTACTATTCGTCTGCTTATGACAATCATACCATATTTTCTGTATGGCGATGTGAGTATAACACAAAAGAAACACACATACCAATTAGGTTACGGAAGATGGAAGATACTAGAATACAAGTAAACAACAAATATGCCGAGAGCATTTTTTGTTTATTCGCCATTTTGTCGTATTAACAAAATTAAAATGGTTATAGCGTGGTTATATAAAAATATATTTTTAAAAAAGATGCTGTAATAACCTAAATTGAGAAAATGAAAAAAGGAAAATTTGTTCAATGTAACAATGAGTAATGGTCGTATTAACCACTTAAACAACCTTCTGCTAAATTTGGTATTTTTCCTTTCGCTTTCAATGTTTCAAAAAGAAATTTTTACATTCCTACTGCTTTTTATATTGGAGGAGATCGTATCAGAATCTCAGCTGGCCATAAAACTTCTGCCAAAGAATATAGAAAACTATAATTGTGTGGAAATAACTTGCAACGTTGGCTATGAACCGTCTCTTTGTAACAAAACGCATATGGGTGACTTGTGTAGAAAATGTCCCCCTGATACTTATAATGATACGAAAGGTAAAAGAATTGTCATTAATTCGGATACTGGCTCCTATTGGCTAACACGAGGGTGTCGGAAAAGGTTTAATATAATTTACATTGTGTAGATTTTGAAAAATATATTAGGATTTAATTTTAATTGAAAATACTAGGCAAAGGTGCATAGGCCCATTTCAAGTTGTTCTCAGAGAAGGAAACTCAACGGATGATACAATTTGTGGTTGCGCAGAGAGATACAGTATAAATGAAAGAGATAGCTCACTCTCAAGTCGAGTGATGTTCACTTTAATAAGTGAGTAGAGTTAAAATCCTATTAATTCCCTCTACTCTTTAATACAATCAACTATTATTCAACTCCATATCAAGTTTGTACTGTGTTATGTCTATTGGTGTTTGTGAATGACAAGTTCAAGAGAATGTGGATCAAGGAAATTGGAATGTCATACATCGAATCAGCAATTGCTATTAAAAACTTAAATAATAGTTTCTCTAACAGCTGCCATAATTACGGAAGTAGAGTGTCAAAAGGGAATAATTGCAACCTTGCTTGTCTAAAAACAAAGGCGCCGAAAAGAATTAATCAGCCAATAAAAGTTGATTGGTCAAAACTGCATGATGGATCATTTCAACATTCACCTGGATTACATTTATGTTCATTTAGGCCAAGTCGAGGCATTTTACAAATCTCTATTAGTAGTAGAGCTGAGAAAAATTTGCGAATAATTAATCTTAAGTGTAAAACTTGGAGGAAGAAGATCGGCATTGCAATAAGGCTTCAATCAAAAAGGAATGATTGCTATACCAAGTATAGCTTTAAACCCAATCCAGTATTGACTATAGAAAAGAAACTTGTAGATTTTCCAGTTTTTATGTTCATAACAAGGAAAAAGATTTTTGAAAGAGATGGTTGTATTAATGGTCTTTTAACTTTTACTCTTTGTACAGAGAATATCAAAAAACCTTCATCTAATGTTATAGCTATTCGACAATTTCATTTACATCGGAGAGCGGAAAATGTACAATTTTCAATCTGCTTTCAAATGCCTAACGGCAAAGAAAAAAGAAATAATATTAAAGTTCACAGAGCTCGATTAGATATCTCTATGGCTTTGAGTTTTGACTATGAATTTTGTTATAATACATGCAGTACGGATAATTATGACTGTTGTCTTGGTTCTTCAAAATTGTCTATAGAACTACTAGAATCGTCCGTTGACCCTTTAAAAATTGTTCTTGATTTGCGCAAAGATCTAATGGAAAACCCTGTCTTTATTTGTTGGTATGATAGAAGATTGACAGTATTGAAATGTCCATATGGTCAGTTAAGCCTTCCTGAAGAAGCAACGGAGAGTCCTGTTGAGATTTCGTTACAAGAGAAATTTTACAAAGTTAAAAACATCCTCCACGATATTAAGAAAAAATGTGGGAAAGACGAACAAGCGTTCGTTAAATCAATAGTTTGTAAACCGGATGGGCAAACATTTACAAAGAATTGTAAACTAAACATTCCATTTTTGTCTTCAAGTCGAGAAAATGTTTTTGTATTTCATAAACAAAAACAGGATTATGAGAAAGTTGACATTCTAAAATGGGACACTAATTATATTGAAATTTTACTGAATAGTTTCTCCGAGTATATTATTGTTAATATAGAAGGAAATAACAAAATAAAATTTTACGTCTATGGCGATGAAATTAACAAGGATACAACAACAATTTTAAGAATATTTCCACAAGTGCAAGTAGGCAGTTAAAAATTGAATTCAAAAAAAATACGAATAATATTTACCCTGTTTTTTTTTCTTCCAGAATAATCAATTCGATACTTGCTTTACACCTCAATCATTCTTTAAAAATTTTACCATTGAGAAAAATGTAGTGAAAGATGGTAACATTGCGTGTTATCACTCCAAAGACACTTTTATTAACTCTGTAAATTCAACATCATTTAAAATATGGGCGGAAAATGATATTTGTCACACTTCAGTCTATTCCCGACCTTTTCAATGGATAATTAATGAAAAACGTGATTTAACAATAAAATTTACCGGAAGTATGTCCGATAATGATCCAATTACGTTGAGTACGAATAATGAAGCTGAAATTGACTTACCTAATACTCATAATTTCGTTATAATCACTAATGACGTAATTAGAAATATGGCGAGTGTTTGCACTGCTGAAATGATACTCAAACTATATATTTACGTTGTTGACGAAGCAGTTTTCTTAATTGGCAAAAATTTTGAATATTCCACATATTTGAGTTATTTGATAAAAATTCGAAGTTACCTCTGGGAGAAACTAGAAAATGTAGAAAATCCAATACAGAGAGAAAAAGAACTTGTTCTAAAACTAAAGAATTGTATGATAAGTAAGGGCCTGTTAGACTTGAAAATGAAACTAGATGAAATATGCTAGAAATCTGACAGAAGAAACAATAAAAATGTGATTTAGGATTTCAAGAAATTTGCAAGGGACTCAAAAATTCAGCAAAGATTTTGAAGATGTTTGTTTCGAGTCATGTGACCTGAATGAAGTATATGCAAAACATTTAGGAGAGATTTTAAGAGACTGTTGTGTTCTTGTCAAATTAAATTTATCATATAATAATAACATATGGTAGCGGGTGAAACAGTACCAGGGTGAAACTGTACCTGAGTGAAACCGTACCCATTTTGGGTGAAACCGTACCCATAAAAATATTAGGTTTTTTTAATTTTATTAATACTAAAGAAAAGTATATATAATACTAAGAAAATGATAATAGATTAAGACATAACTTTGAAAGATAAAAGAATGGAAAGAGCGAAAAAAACAGTTAAAAAAAAGAATATTATGGAGCATAAATATATGATGTTTGAACCAATAATTCATCTGCCAAAAGCCCTCCAAGTCTATAATTTTCCCAAATTTCAAATATTTTTCTTTCTATCTCAATATACTGCTTTTTTTGGTACTTGATAATCTTCTCAGACATAAGCTTTTCATACATAATAGCTAAATCAGCTTCTCTCTTCAGTTCATCAAGTAGCCAATAAAATGATCCTTTAGATGGTACTTTATTATTCATTCTATTGTGCCATCCTCCCACACTGTTATTAGTCCTTATGGATAATCCATATATAGACCAATTCTCTGTTTTCCATATAGAGTTCATAATCCAAGTTGCTTCAAAATATTCCAACAAGTCTGCAAATTTTTCTTTTTCTGTAAGTTGAGATTTCAATCTGAAATATGTTGGAGCAATGATATGAGCAGGCAGAAAAGGTAAAGCCATCAGCTTTCTCATGTCTCTCCAGTCCTATATATGACATACCAGTCATGTTTCTGACACTCTGAAGAATGAAACATTCATCTTAAAGTAGTTAAATCTAAAATGATAATCTTTGCCCAAATATAATTATCAAAAAAAGCTTGACTTTCAAAGTAAATTCTTTCCAAAGTGAAAGTTAATTTCAGTTTCTTCATTTTTAAAATGGCTGTCAGTTTATATTTCAACAGTGTTTTTATTTTTGTAGGTTCCATTATTATAATTCTAAATAATAAAATTAAAAAAAACTAATATTTTTATGGGTATGGTTTCACTCAGGTACGGTTTCACCCGAATACGGTTTCACCCAGTATGGGTACAGTTTCACTCGGGTATGGTTTCACCCTTATTCATAACATATTTGTTGACATTTTTACCTTAAACAGTAACAATTGATATTCAACCATATTCAACTATTTTATAACCACATATTCTAGGTTACTTACTTGTTCAAAATGGCGACTAAAATAACTTTGATCCTGATTAGTTTTATACTATTGAATAGATATATAGAAAAAACAACATTCTACAAATTTCAAGAAAAGAATCTACTTGAATTTATGGATGAGGATTATCAATCCTTATTTGAGTTGGATGGTAATATGAGTACTATTTACAGTGAGACAAATTTCAATTAAAACTTAATTCTAATTGTTTAAAATGGGACTATACGCATTTTACAATATTGAAAGTTAATTATAAAAATTCAATGAACAAGATTCTGACAGGTAATTGGCAAGGTTTTTTAGAAAAAACACCCAACAAATATATAAAATATAAAGAAATTGACTGTTCAAATCAGACGGAAGATTGTTGGAATCCAGCATCTTTTATACCAATTATAAGACAGTCTAGTATACAACTCATTAAAATTAATGAAGCAGAAGTTATAAGTATCTATCCAAATTACTGTACAATATCTATAGAAAAATGGTTACAAACCATTGAAAATTATTGGACAAACTATGTTTGTATAGAAACTGAAAATGATTTACATAATTTTCGTTATCTACCAAATCCAAAATTGTTAGTTGTAGTGCATAGGCCTACAAATATCATTTGCTGTAAAATTCGATTTAATTGATAGGATATCTTTGAATTCTTCTAATGGCAAATCATGGATGAGAGGAGTACATTTGTAATTGATAATCTACCTGATAGAAGACATATTTTAAAATCAAAATATGATATCTATCAAATAGAATTGGTTTTATCATACCTTTTAGAACATTACTAACTGACCTGCTGCTAATATTGTCACATAGATTTGACAAATTTTTAAATTATGTTAACTGTGGGCATTTTCAACAACATTCAGTTTCTCTCTATCTTTACAATGACTTCAGCTATTAAGACAATTCAGTTTTTATTGATGCCAATTAGAAATGTATTTTCAAAACCACATTTAAAAATGTTAAAAGCTTTGTTAGGAAATGCTACCTTGTCATTTCTAAGATTATTAACAACCAGCCAGGCAGAGATGTGGGATTACTGCTTCTTTACATTTCTCCTCGCATGACTTACTCTGTAAAGAAATATTAAATTTCATGTTATTATTTACTGATGTAACTTACTTTTCCCCTGCTTAAAAGATCAAATTCTTTCAAATACAACTCATCCTCAAGCATGTTTTCTAATTCCTGTCTTTTTTCCATTTCATTCAAAATGGACCTCAAACTGTCTCCAGCAGAAGGGAATGAAAGAGCATAAACAGAAAGACAAACAAATAAGCAAGCAATAATTAGTTTTTTCTCCATTTTATCAGAATATGAAATTGTTTTCCTTCCAAAGTAAAATAAGATTTAAATTTTCTTTTCTGCTTCTGGCTTTTTATAGACTGAACAAAGCTTAAAAACTAGTTTGAAACTGGTTTCCTTTGTAAATATAATAAAGGACAATTTAACAATATAAAAATATTGATAATAACAAACCTGAATCAGTTTTAAACTAGTTTTTTTTCTAAATGTGAAAAAGCTTTTCTTGTTATCCTCCTTTTTTTGTCACTTGTTTATCAAAGAAATTGTCTTTTTTTATATATAATGCTTTTTTGATTATTTTGCTCTGATGTAAAAGCTTACGTATGCAGTTTTTAGTTCTTTAGAAATACCTTTTTAAATATTAATAAACCAAGCTCGATACGATTTTAAATGAATAATAAATATTGATTTATTTAAATAAAATTTAAAAATTTAAGAAAATATATCTTGTCCATTTCAATTATATAGACAGAGGCTTTTGTGATTTGCAACTCTATCCTCATGGCTCTATATAGTCATTTTTTGAATACATTACTTGTTGAGCACTTGCAATCACTAAAATGACTCCCAAAGGGGATGAATTTTCAAAGCTTTTTAGTCTGTAATCTTTAAACATAGACTAAACTGTACTGTTAGATTGGAACTCATCTACTTTATACATATTTCTATTGGCAAAATTCTAACATTTTAGGCTCTATGAGTAGTTTTGGAAATTTAATAAAGGATTGGAAAGGACAATTATTACTGTTGTGATAGGCCAGAAATTTTTACAGTTAGAATACAACAAAGTACACTAATTGATGGCCAAATCATTTAAACAAACAAAATTTCAAAACAATGTTTAATTCAAATGGTTTATTCAAAATAAAATACTTTAATATAATAATTAAATAGTTTGAAGTAGCAGATTGTCAAATCATCAAATCAAAGGTTAAGGTGTTTTCTTTATGAGAATAACACTGCTTAATAACACAAGCACTAATTTATTAATCAATCATCATACAATTCCTCAAAATAGGAGACTGATCTGTAATGTTCTTGTTTTTCATATATCCTACACCATGTCTAACAAGATCAGCATCTTTATAAGTTGCATTTTCACACAGGTGAATCACTATCTAAATCATATTTTTGATTTTTTACTAGCTCAGGGCGAAATGAAAATATAATGTTTAAAATTTTATTTTGAAGTTCCTTTCCAAATTTGTTGCTATTCAAAAAAAGCTCTTGAAGATGTTGATTACAACGAATTGCATCAATAATAATAGGTTCAATGTCATCATTAAATGAGCAATTTGATAAATATATCTCCTTCAGCTGAAAGCAATATTTTTGTATATTTTGAAATATATTTTTTCCAACTTTAAATCCAAATTTATTATTGTGCAAAAATAATGTTTCCAATTTTGGATTATGGCCAATTGCCTCACTGTAGCAATTTCAATCTGAAAAGATATCCTGATAGTGTTATTAAAAAAAATCCTAATTTATAACTAAGATCAAAACTGCACAATCATTAACAGGTTTGTTTTATAAACTGAAAAAATTTTGAAACACTTTTTTTATGACACAATCAGGGTTTGAAGAGTTGCTTGTTTTGAATTGTTTCTTTATATTGTACTGTTCCTGGTTAGAAAGCATGAGTGATACTATGAAATTAATTTTGTTAACAAGATGAATGATATAATTAATATTAAATATTCTTTATATAAAACAGTGCTGTCCATGTTTTAGTTATACCTTTTACAAATTTTCTCTAGTAACTAAATAAAAAAAATTTCATAACTCCTAACTATAACAATAAAATACATCATAAATTATTATTCATATGTTTGAAAAAAGTAAGGAAATTTAAGAGATGAAAAACACAAGATAGAGCTACAATTGTAGAAAACAAAAGTAAAAAAGTCCTGCTTTCAAAATGGCTACCAAGTGATCTATAATAATATGAAACACAAGCTAAATGTTCAAAATGCTTGGAATTGTTGGTGAGATATGATCAAAAAATGCTACCTTGTCAACATACATATTTTTCTCAAAGTATTCAACAATTACCAAAGGAAAATATTGAATTCTCCTGTCAAACTTACATATTGCTTGGGGTTCTATTTGGACCAGTACTTTGGCGTAATATTAAATGAGTGGCACAGACAAATACTGTTGGGAATTTGCTTTCAAATAGACCAAAAAGTATTTTAATCATATTTTTTGCAAACAGGACAGGTCATTTGATTATCATCATCAGGAAAATTTTTTACACATTTGAAACAAAAGGTATGTTGAAAATGATGTACATGTACATTTCTTCTATAATGTACTGTTCTTGCTGGCAAATTTATGTGTTTGCAAGT